AATACCGAGATACATGTAACCTACTCCTTGTTCGGGAAGAGCTCGCAGACAGGGCTCCAGTCGTGTACACTGTAAGTGATAGCCTAAGGTGGTAGCTCTATGAGAGGGAGAAGGTGCTGGGGCAAGAAAATGGATTGGAGGGTTCAGGAGGCGGTGTGTGTCACATTAATGCTCCCTGCGCATGTCGCAATGCTGGGCGGATTTTGAAGGATGAAATGGAGCTATCTGGTGCCCGATGGGGAGAGATTTGGGGTAGATAAGTTTGGGGAAGAGTTGGTGGTTTGGGACTGTGGAAGCCCCCAGGTGGTGTTGCGGGGGAAGCGTGCAGGGTGCTAAGGCTGCAGACATGGGGGGAGGTCAGATTGTCGAGGACCATCTTGGTGCTGCCCTGAGTCCCACGAGGTTTACACATGTAGAGAGACCAGTTAGGAGATCATTGCTGTCCCAGATCAGATAGGCTGAGTGGTGGGGACGGAGATAGAGACCCACTTTTGACCTCTGAAGTGCAGCAGGATGGGGAGGGAGAGTGTGATGGGGATGAACAGACACTTTTTTGAAGATGAATGTTTTCCCTTTTTCTTTGGGCTATCTTGGTTTCCCTGGGAGCAAATCCCTGGGATATAAGTCCAAGAAGATGAATGCTAGTAGAGTAATTCCCTGCTTATCCAGAGATCTTGTGACTTCAGTGAGGGGCCAACATAGCACAAACTTGGATGAGGAAAAAACCTCTGATCGGTTAAAACAAGCTCGAGGTTTTACTTTGCCATATCCTTCAGTGCTTTCACTCAGAGCTGTTTTTGACAATTCAAGTGCACCTCCCAAAAGAATGGTTACTTGGTTTCCTGTCCCTAAAATAATAATAATTAAGAAGTACCTTTTAATGGAGTCTGCTTGGTGCCAGGTACTGTGTAAGATGCTTTGCATGCACATCTTGAGGGGCAGCAAGGCTAAGTGCCCTACCAAGATCACAGAGCTAGTAAGTCTTGTAATATTAGAACCCTAGCCCAGGTCTGGCTGCTCAGCCGGGTGCCCTGTGCTGCAGAAGCCACAAATCATAGACAGGATGGGGAGAGTGTCAGCCAATAGTGGTACCAGGGCAAAGGAGGGAATGACATGGACTGAGGAGCCTCGCAACTGTTCAGTGGGGTTTCTAGCAACTTCACACGAGAAGGGGATCAGTCAGGGTTCTCCCGAGGAGCAGAACTAGCAGGATGTGTATATCTTTATTTATACACCTCTAACAAAGTTTGGTTGCAACAATGACCACACACACATCTTAGAAAATCCATGGTAAGTCTCATGCAATTATGGAGGCAGGCAAGTCCCAAGATCCATGGGCTGAGTTGGTAAGCTGAAGATGCAAGAGAACCAGGGATGGAGCTTCAGTCCAAAGGCTGGCAGGAAGAGCTGATGTTTCAGTTTGATTCCACAGGCAGGGAAAAGCTGATGTCTGCGTTTGAACACAGGCAGGGGGAATTCCCCCTTATTTAGGAAGGATCGGCCCTTTTGTCGTAGTCAGGCCTTCCACTTATTGGACGAGGCCCGCCCACATTAGGGAGGACAATCTGCTTTACTCAGTCTATCTGGTTTAAATGCTAATTTCCTCTAATGCACAGTAGAGCAAATACAGACAACAATATTGTAGTATAATACTCAAGCTTGTGGGGCACCGGGGTGGCTCAGTCGGTTGAGCGTCTGCCTTTGGCTCAGGTCAAGATCCCAGGGTCCTGGGATGGAGCCCCGGATTGGGCTCCTTGCTCAGCGGGGAGCCTGCTTCTCCCTCTGCCTTGCTTGTGCTGGCTCTCTCCCTCTCTCTCTCTGACAAATAAATAAAATCTTAAAAAAATACTCAAATTTGCTAGGAGACTAGAACTCAATTATTCCAAACATTAGCAATATATAATTGTGTCTCACGGTAGATGTGCTAATTATCGCCACAATGGCAATCATATTACAGCCTGTAAACGTACAAAATTAACATGTTGTACACCTTAAATTTATACGTTATATGTCTAATATATTTCCATGAAAAAAATGTTAATCTCATCCAGAAACACCCTCACAGAAACACAGATAATGTTTGACTGAATATCTGGGCACCCTGTGGCCCAGTCAAGCAGACACATAAGATTTATGTGGAAGGAAGGAAGATAGAATAATAATGGAGACACAAAACTGAAAGAATATGCTGATGTGAGATTAGTTAGTGTAGGCTTAGTGACTTTAGACCTCCTGATAACCGTGTCTTGCAATTATAGCTCTGTATCCTGATCAATGGTGCAAATAACAGAGACATAACCTATTGACGAGGTGAATTCTGTTTTCGATGCAGTAAGTTTGGCGTGGACCAGGTGAGCAGGTCTTTCTCTAGGGGCTCCAGGCTCTCCCTACCTGCAGCCAGAGGAGGACTTGTTTTCCCATGGTCCAAGCCGTCCCTTGGTATCAACTTTAATGCTCTCCTTAATGGAGTCCCCCTGGGCTACAGTTCTTCTGAATCAACTGACTGGGTGATTTTCATTCATTTCTTCATTCCTTTACATAGCATTTAGAGAATCTTGTTCTTGACAAAGGGGAACATAGACACGAGGGACTTGTCAGGCCCCTCCCAGTCTACTGGGAGCAAAGGAGAAAGAAGACACTGGTGTCATGCGATGGGAAGCTGAGATGACAGATTAGCTTCAGATGCCGTGTAAGGACATGGGGAACTCCTAACTCAACCCAGGGGAGGCGGAGGAGGAAGGCCAGCTTCAGTGATGCTCTCAGGAGGGGTAGGACGTGGTCAAGAATCTGAGCTGCCTTCAGGGAAACAGGAAAGACGCGTGCAGAGTTCAGCGGAGGAATAAAGACCTGCCGATCCCCAAATGAGGCCTTATCATGCCCTCGTAACTGTTCTTTTTGAGCTGCTGTTTCTTATTCACCACTTAAAAGTGAAAGTCCAGTGGGAAATAACAAAACATACAATAAAATAAAATAAGCTGAAAGATTACTCAATAAAAAGAAGCGATAAAATAGTAAAAGCAGGCCGATGCCATAAAAACCCCAAAACTCAACCACACAGAATCACCACCAAGGGCCAGACAATAAAAACGACAGCTAAAATGTACCGAACTAAGTGGTAGGCATCTTCAAGCATTGGGAAAGCAAACGAGGATTATTTCCATTTTACAGAGGAGCAAAACGAGGCTTAGGGGAGATTAAGGACTGTGGTTCCAGCAGGCACCGGTAAATAGCCAGTCAGGGGCAGAGCAAGACATTGAACTTGGGTGTACCTAACTCAAGTCCAGGGCTCTGAAGGCTCAAGCCTGCCTGCATGTTGGAGCCATCTGGGAGCTCTTAAGAAATACTGATGCTGAAGAGACATTTCTCCAAAGAGGACATGCAAAAGGTAAACAGGTATATGAAAAGAAAAAAATGCTTAATGTCACTAATCATCAAAGAAATGCAAATCAAAATCACAAGGACCTATCACCTCATCTCTGTCAGGATGGTATTATCAAAAAAAGCAAAAGACCACAAGCGTTGGTGAGGACGTAGAGACATTGGGACCTTCGTGCACTGTTGGTAGGAAGACAAAATGGGGCAGCCACTGTGGAAAACATTGAAAATAAAACAACCGTATGATTTAGAAATCTCACTCTGGGTATTTACACGAAATAATTGCAGTCAGGATCGCAAAGAGATATTAGCACTCCCATGTTCCCTGCAACATTATTCACAATAGCTGAGATGTGGGATCAACCTACATGTTCGTGGACAGATGAATGGTTCCAGCAGATGTGGTACATTCCCACAATTGTATACTATTTAGCCTTAAGAAAGAAGGAAATTCTGTAATAGGTGACAACATGGATGAACCTGGAGGCCGTTATGCTGAGTGAAATGAACTGGTCACAGAAAGATAAAGACTCCATGATTCCCGTATGAGGCATCTACGGTAGGCAAGTTCGTAGACACAGAGAGAAATGGTGGCTGTCAGGGGCTGGGGAGGGAGAAACGGGGAGTTATTAATCAATAGGCATAAAGTTTTCAGTTAAGCAAGATGAATAAGCTCTAGAGAGCTTCTGTACAACATTGCACGGATGGTCAACAGCGCTCTGCTCTGCACTTGGAGACTTGTTGATGGTAGATCTCATGTTACGTGTTCATACCACAATTAAAAAAAAAAGAAGAAATCCTAAGGTGATCTGGGCCAACTCTTGATTCTAAACTGGTCGGTCTGGGGTGAGCCCCAGGCAGAGAGGGCGAGCAGCGGCCACTCTACACATTTCTGGCTGTCCTCCGTTCTTACACTCATTGCTTCTATATATTGAGCTCCCTGAGTCCCAAACACTGAATACTCCTGGTATTGTTACTCCCATTGGAGAACTGAGGAAACTGAGAGCTTAAGTCACCTTTTCTGGGTCACCCAGGTGGTAGTCACTAGTGCCTGCATTCATTCCCAGATCCACGTGACTCCAAAGCCCATGCTCTAACTGCTATGCAAGCAGGGGCCTCTGTGGGACACAGACATGGGCATCATGTGTCCTTCCACGTCACTGCTTTGTCCCTCAGGCTGTAGGGTCAACAGCGTCACCTTTGTCCCAGGCTTGTCCACACTGAACTGTCATCATGCAGATGCAGGAAGTGGGCCTTTTGTGGCTCGACACTAAGGAAGAACTTTCTGCCAGTCAGTGGAGTGTGACGGGAAGGTAGGCTGCCTGGGGAGGCTGTGGGCACCTGCCATTGTCATCGCTGGGCAACCACCTGAAGGATCTGTTGGGAGCAGAAGTCATCCTTCAACTTATTGTGTGTGCGAGTGTGTGTGGAGGTGGCCAAGGAGGGTTGGGCTTAGATACTCCTAATGTGTCCCCAGCCCCGAAATTGAGGGGCTCAGGAGACCAGTCAAAGCTCAGTAGGTGAAGATGGTTCTAGAAGATGAGCTCACAAAACTAGGGAGTTCCAGAAGGCCCTATGTCAGTTTGGAGCCTGCCCTCCCCCATCATTCTCTGAAAGCTGGGTGCCTGGGGCCCCAGCAGTATCATGGGGGTGTCTTGAGCTGAAGCCGGGTGTCGGGTCCCTGTTGCAGCCGCCACTGTCACTGCCGTGCTAGCTCTGGTGTGGACGACACCTGATCAGTGAGCCCCCTTGCCCTCTTCCTGCAGCTGTTGACCAGGTTCCTGGCTGGCCTGGCCAGAGAGGGGCATGGAAAAGGAAAGGGGGTGGTCAGAAATGAGGGGGAGTCCTGGGCTGGGAGAGCGCCGAGTTGAGAGAGAGAGGGAGAGAGAGAGAAAGAGAGAGAAAGAGGGGAGACCCTGCTGGCGGGTGTCTCGTCTCTTAATCACCAGCCCTCACTCCTTACCCCTCTCGACCTGCCATGACACGCTCAGGATGAAATTAGTTTTAAGTCGCTTTGCTACAAAAAGTCAAAAACAGTCTCCATAAAGCAGCGAGCTTGGTGTCCTCTTCTATAAATGGGAGCTATTACTCCTACGAACCTTGAGTTGTTGAGAGGATTAGAGGAGCTCACGCTAGAAAACATCCGGCAAAGGCCCAGCGCACTGTCTGCCGGGTATGAAGAGCTCAGCGAGGTTCCCCCCCATCGCCTCCCCGCCCCCCACTTTGACGGGGAGGGTTCGTGCTCTCGGGGTCAGGACCTCAGGATGCTTCAGTGTAAGCAGCACCCACTGAACAGTCACTCCATACCCACAACTCGGCTTGGCTTTTAGGATGTACAAGACGGCCAGTGTTCCTTGGAAGTTCTCTTATGGAAGGAATGATTACCGTACATCACAGTCCTGTGGGACAGAGGGATGGCAGAAGCACAGGGTGCTCGGGGCGTGTTGGGGAGCTGGCAAACTCATCTCTGTGTGACCCTGGAAGTATGAGTAAGAGTTAGCCATGTAGAGGAAGGAGAGGGCTAGTGCTCCGGACAGCGGGATCATCGTGAGTGAACAATATGGCTTACTGGAGCTCAAAGTGTGAGTGATGGGGAGGCCCGCACGGCTGGGTCATGAGGAGTGATGCATGCCTAGGAGCAGCGATGCACCCCTCCCAGGGTGGCAGGTGGCCAGGCTTTTTGTTCAAAAAACTCATGGTGGTAAATGTGTCTAGAATAGTTTGGAAAACGAGTCAGGACTGGATGCAAGGAGCCCATCAGTATGCTGGGATGGTGGTCGGAACTGAGGGAAAGACAGTGCTCTCGGAGGGAGGGCAGAATCAATCACACTTCGGGACCGACTGGCTGTGGGTGGGTGAAGGTGTAGAGACAGAAGGAGTGAAGAATGCCATCTGTATTTCTAGTTTGGATAAATGTGTTTAAACCAAAAAAGTTATGAGTTTAGTATATTTTTTAAAGATTTTATTTATTTATTTGAGAGAGAGAGAGCAAGGGAGATCACAGAGGGAGAAGCATACTTGCCGCTGAGCAGAGAGCCTGATGCGGGGCTCGATCCCAGGACCCTGGGATCATGACCTGAGCCGAAGGCAGACGCTTAACCGACTGAGCCACCCAGGCGCCCCAGTTATGAGTTTAAACCAAGGATATTTTAAACCCAGAAAGGAAAGGCACAAGGAAACCAATTTTAGTGGGAACATTGGTTCTGTTTTGGACCTGCTTAGTCTGAGTTGACACGGGATATCTGAGTGGAGAAGTCCAGGAGGCAGCGGCAGATGAGGTCTGCTGCTCTGGGGAAGACAAAATTCAACGTCATCGGCCCATAGGTGGCGGTTAACCGCGGGGCCACCCAGAGGGTATCCTGGAGAGAGAGAGGAGGGCTCAGGGTAGAGATGCCTGGAAAGCATACCAGCGTTTAAGACATAGGCAATCAGAAGAAATAGCCTGAGAAGGAGCAGGGAACCCAGGAGAGGGGGCATCATGGAAGCCAAGAGTGGCAAGAGATTCAACAGGTGGACTGGGCAATGGCGTGAAAGGTTGCTGAGCGCCCCTGTGGGTCAAGAACTGGCAAGACCCACTGGATGGGGCAGAACAGCATCAGGCGTGTGGTGATGGTGGTAAAGCTAAATTTTACTGGGTTGAAAACAAATGGGGAGGTGAGAAAACAGTAATTTTTCCTGTAGACGTTTCCATGAGAAGAGAGGGCGAGAGACCAGTCAGCAGAGATGATGACGAGGCCTGTGTGCATCCACGCATCAGGGGAATCAGAAGTGGTAGGAGGAGGCGCCGAGGACCCTTGGAAGGGAGCGAGGGCATGGAGCAAGGTCGAGAGGCGGGAAAGGGTGAGCTTGCAGGCACGACGGGCCTTGGCAAGCATTGTGGCCCCGCATCCTCACACTAGAGGGGTGAAGCTGAGCGGGACGAGGTTCCTGATGCCCTCGTGAGGCAGGAGGTGAGGTCTCCTGGGAGCTCAGGGGTGGGACCGGGCAGCGGGCAGTAATGAGCGTCTCGAATACTCTTTGAGGGCAATGGGAGAGAGAAAGTTGGCCAAAGACAAGCCTTCGGGCCAGAGTGAGAAGTATTTCATCATAGAAATAACAGTGAACCTATTTTTAGTACAAAGAGCTAAGTTCTCTCTGGGCCTTTCTCCTCTCATTCATTCTTTTTATTTTTTTAATTTTTTTATTGTTATGTTAATCACTATATATTACATCATTAGTTTTTGGTGCAGTGTTCCATGATTCATTGTTTGTTCATAACACCCAGTGCTCCACACAGAACGTGCCCTCCTCAATACCCATCACCAGGCTAACCCATCCCCCTCCCCCCTCCCCTCTAGAACCCTCAGTTTGTTTTTCAGAGTCCATCATCTCTCCTGGTTCGTCTCCCCCTCTGACTTACTCCCCTTTTCTTCCTCTCCTGTTATCTTCTTCTTTTTCTTTTTTCTTAAAATATGTTGCGTTATTTGTTTCAGAAGTACAGATCTGTGATTCAACAGTCTTGCACAATTCACAGCGCTCACCGTAGCACATACCCTCCCCAATGTCTATCACCCAGCCACCCCATCCCTCCCACCCCCAACCACTCCAGTAACACTCAGTTTGTTTCCTGAGATTAAGAATTCCTCATATCAGTGAGGTCATGTGATACATGTCTTTCTCTGATTGACTTATTTCACTCAGCATAACACCCTCCAGGTCCATCCACGTCGTTGCAAATGGCAAGATCTCATTCCTTTTGATGGCTGCATTCCTCTCATTCATTCTTTCAAACATCTTCTGAGGCAGGTGTTATTCATTTCCTCATTGGAGAGCTGAAGACAGTGATGCTCGGGAGGTGTTCAAAGTCAGAGATGTTGTGCAGGGCGGAGGTGGGCTTCAAACTCAAGGCTCACTGCAAAGCCACACCCTTAACCCACCTTGTTGTCCTCCATGGCTTGAAGGTCCAGTGGAGTTGGAAGCCATGTGTTTTTTGGGACACCATTCGTGAGGTCATGTGGCTGTTTTGTTTTCTGACTCTATGAATGTGGACAGCAAGTGTGGTGGGGTAGGGTCACGGGAGATGTGGGAGGATGTGTCAGAGAGACGAGAATGGAAGGTTGCAGAGCGGGGTGGCGGCGAGAGGCACGGATGGCCAGGCCATGGGAGCGGGTGGCTAAGACAGAGTGGAGGTGAAGGTCATAACCAGGTGCAAACATCCTTCATGATACCGAGGGCCGGCCCGTGGAGCCAGTGCAAGATGCAAACCCAAGGAGAGCACTCACCTTGACAATGGGGGGGTAGGGACTGCTTACACTCTGATGCCATTGCTGGGTCCTTGCCCTCTGGGAACATCTGCTCATGGCCATACCTCGTGGGGCTTTGGAGTCACGTAAACATTGGTCTTATTCCAAACTTTGCTCCTTCCTAGTTGTGCAACATAGGGCTTTAGGATTCGATGATGCCTGGCAAGTAGTATGGAGCTCCAAACACGTTCGTTTTCTCTCCCAGTTCCCCTCCTCCTCTCTCAGCTGCTGGGGCAGGTGTAAAGCAGGACGGAGGGGAGCTGGCCTCAGGGAACCCTCTCCTGGACCTCAGAGCTCAGGAGCGTGGCTGATGGCTTCCTCGGGGCTGCAAGGGAGCTGGTTTGCAGTGTTGGCGCCTTCTCCCCTTTTCCCAGGTACACTCAGACCCCGTTTTGCTTTTTCTTCCAAGGGTAACCTTCTGTGAGTGGTGGACCAGGGCTGTTGAACTGCCTGCCATCTCAAAACCCAGCTGTGAGCCAGCGTGGCAGGGGCTGTGCCTCCGACGCCTGCATGGAAGCCAGGAGCTGGGCTCCCAGAAGGCAACTGTGCCCTCCGGGGAGCATGTTGCTGGCTTTTGCCTCTCTGCTCGGCTGCCTGCTCGCCTCCAGCCAGGCCAAGGTCTACAGTCGCTGCGAGCTGGCCCGAGTGCTCCAGGATTTTGGCATGGAGGGATACCGGGCATCCACCCTGGCTGACTGTAAGAACCACGCTCCCAGACACTGCCGCCCCCCACTCCTCCCTTCCCTCCCTGCTCCCCTCCCTCCCTCCCTGCCCCCCTCCCTCCCTGCTCTCACTCAGGGGAGGTGGTCTTGGAAGCTTTCTGAGCCTCAGCCCTCCCTTGTACATCAAGGGTTTATGACCAGACAGGTGGGCAAGACTTAGCACAAGTTAAATACCTAATAGGCAGGCCACAGGCAGCCCAATCAGCATGCCCCTACCTGCCCTGCCCCTACTGCTGAAGTCAACAGTCAAAGAAACAGAATAGCTTAGTTCCCTAATCCTAATGGCAGCCAAGAGGATTGGACATTCCCATTGAGGTTTAGGGTAAACTGAGCAAACCAGTAAGAGCAGACTCTTCAAGCTGCTGGTAGCTTCAGGAAGCTGTGAGGTCCAGCTGAATCTGGACTCATTTTTCTCTTGTTCTAGCCCCTTACCAGCTCTCACCTGTGTCTTCTTTGTTTTGCCTCTAAAGATCTAGCTTTTGTCCGTTTGTCCCACAAAGATTTCTTGGGCCCCGCTACATGCTGAGCGATGAGACAGCGGGAAGAAAGGAGGCCTGAGGGACAGTCTTGACTCTTGCTATTTAGTAGCTGTGGTGACCCTCAGTGAGTCCCTTGCCCCCCTGAGCCTTGCTGGAGTCACTGGGGAAGTAGGTGGGAGGACAGCCACCCTGACCACCTTGGGGCAGGAGCTGAGGCTCAGAGGAGCCCGCGTGTGGCACCCGCATGTGAGTGTCCTGGTCTGCGCTGGCTTCGGTCACCTGACCCTCGGGCCCACGTCTCCACTCTACGCAGGGGTCTGTCTTGCTTACTTCACAAGTGGCTTCAACACAGCCGCTGTGGACCATGAAGCCGACGGGAGCACCAACAACGGCATCTTCCAGATCAACAGCCGGAAGTGGTGCAAAAACCTCAACCCAGAGGTCCCCAACCTGTGCCAGATGTACTGCTCCGGTAGGCTGGGTCCGAACCGGGAGCGGCATGGGGCCGGGCCTCTGCACCCATCTTGGCTTGTTCCCCGCTGGTGTTTGCACCCCTCGCCTGTATCTCTGAGTGGGGATCTCCCCCATGCCCCTCTGGGCCTACCAAGGAGAGTGGGATGGGGCAAGAGATGAGGGTAGGTCCACCACGAATCTGATGGGAGACTGTCCTGAGAGCTGTAGGAGGGTGGGGAGGGGAGTGGTAGAGTGATACCTGTGTTCCCAGAGGGATCAAGAGACAGGGCTGGTTTTAGAATGGAGAAGGGCATGTGTGTGTGTGTGTGTGTGTGTGTGTGTGTGTGTGTGTGAGAGAGAGAGAGAGAGAGACAGACAGACAGACAGACAGACTCTGGATGTCCAGCTCTGTCCGCTGTTCCCTCATCATATTTCTTTGCCTCCCACCCCAGACTTGTTGAATCCTAACCTTAAGGATACTGTTATCTGTGCCATGAAGATCGTGCAACAGCCCCAGGGTCTGGCCAGCTGGTAGGTAACCTGGGCTAGAGCCCACCCCCCGCCCCGCTCCCCTAGGCTGATGTGGCCAGGACTGGTGGATAGCAGCAGGGAACGAATCTTTCCTGAGTGCTCACATTGTCCCGGCCACCATTCTGTGGCCTCACAGTCTGATCTGTAGCCAACTTTCGGCCATAGGGGTTACTGTCCCTGAAGTATTTACAGACAACACACTGAGTGTCTGGGAGTATAAGCAATTCACGGGAGCTCTTAGAGCCAAGCCTGGCTCTTCCACCATATGCCTCTGTTGGGATGCCTGCCTACAGGTCCACAAGACCTGGGTCTGGTCAACCTTGTTTGTTTGTTTAACGGTGGCATCTTCATCGAAACTAACTTTTGGAGAAAAGCCCAAGATGTACAACAGATCAAAGAAGCGATTCCGGGCTTGAAGCATGGTGGGGATGTGTGTGTGTGTGTGGGGGGGTGCTTGGGAGCCACACCCTGTTGTCAGCCTTCTCTTTTCCTGCCTCTTTCCCACTAGATGGCCTTTGGAGTGGCCATGGTCATAGGCGAGGGGGTTGGATGAGCATCCCATGGGGCACTGGACTAGATCTTTGGTTCCCAGATGGACCTCTGAGGCAGTGACCCTGCAGACTCCTCCAAAGGGGGTCTCACTGCTGAGACTCCAACCTCCCTTTCCTCTCATTTCCGAATGAGAGACCCGCAGGGGCAGGATATGAGGAGGGTGAGATATTCGAGATATTCCAGGTCGTTCCTGGAGCTACAGACAGATGGGACTGTGAATCTAGAGAAGGTCCAAGATGCGCCTTGACCATGGCCCCAGCTTTGGAGATGTGTTGGTCTGAGAACAGTTGATGCCCTAGGAACTGAGTCTGGAGTGAGGCAGGCTCAGCAGGACATAATGCACAGCTCTCAGATCAGGAAGGGTGAGTGTAGGCTTGGCAGGAGTCCAAGGGCTTGGGGTCTTGGGGGCACCACCCCGGGATGGAGGAAACAGGTCCTTTGGGGTTATAGCAAAGAAGAGCTCTCTTCTGTACACTGGGAGTAAATTTGTGGCAGGTATACCCCCCTGAGAGGTGGCTGAGGCTAATAACAGGCAGTGGTCCCAGAAAGTAGAAAGGGTATGGTTTATTTCCTCCACCTGCACATGTTGGGAACTCACCCGTGCCGGGCTCTGTGCTGGGTGCTGGGCTGCAGGGAAGCTGAGATCCCAGTCTCTGCCTTCAAGGCTCTCACAGTCTAATGGTAGAGGGGCAAACAAGCCAGCTGACCACACCTCATTGATAGATCTCTAGAGGTCCTCAAGGGGCACTCTTGGTCATTGGGCTCTTTGACATTGACATCATGGAATCACCAAATTTGGAACCCCAGGACCCCGGGATCTTGCTTATCTTCAAGATGCTCGTGTGGTGATGGAGCAAGGTAATGGTCCTGAAAGAGCCTATAAACTATAGTTACCAACAATTGAAAGTCCTGGATTGGTGGCCAAGGAGAAGTGGGTGGGGCTGCAGTTCTGTCATTTACTAGCTGTGGATCTTGGGTGAGGAATTTTGCATCTGAGTCTCAGTGTTTCATTTGGAATATAGGGAACACTCTATCTGCCTAATCTACATTACAGGGCTGCCGGGGGTGGAGCGGGGTGCAGACAAATGAGTGATGGATGGGACAGTGCTATGTAGACTGTAAAGGGCTGTACGCTTGTAAGGCGGCATGACTGTCTGCTGAGGGAGCATGGTGTGGGAAAAGAGCATTGGACTGGGGTTCTGGACCTTTGCCACTGACTTCTGGGTGAACCTGAACAAATTACCCTGTATCTCTCTTAGTGAAATTAGGAGGTTAGGTAAATGACATTTTAAGGGCCATGCTTTTCCTTTTTTGCTTCTTCTAGGGGGTTCTTTGCTAGTGAATGGGGTTTACTAGTCCCTCTTTCCCTTGCTAGCCCCTTTCCTTACCGTGGTTTAGAGCCCATGCCTCCTTCCTGTTCTTCTCTGAGCAGGGACTGAAGGCGGCAGCTGACTTGGTCTCTCCTCTTTTCCTTCCTCCATCCTCAGGGAGACCTGGAGGCGTCGCTGCCAGGGCAAGGACCTCAGCGACTGGGTGGATGGCTGTGACTTGTAGGATCCTCTGTGGATGGACCAGGCCACGCACAGCAGGCTGGGAGATGTGGTTTGGTTTCTGATCCAGGCTTGGGAAGACAAGCCAACCAATAAAGTATAGTCTAACGTAAGTGTGGTTCTCAGCTATCACTGTGTTTCCAGGTGGCATGTCGGAGTTTCTTCACCTGTCCACCTGAGCTGGGCTCCATAAAGCCTACCCCAGAAGGCTTGCCTCCATTCCTGGAGACCCGGGGTGGGGGTGGGGGTCAGTGCTTCCCTTGCCCACACCTGGTAGAGTTCCTAGACCCTTTACCTGGATCTAGGTTTGCCGGGTTTAGCAAAACAAACAATGATAACCAAAACAGGATGCCTGAGTTAAATTTGAAATTTGGATATGCAACAAATAAATTTTACTCTACATATGTCCCGAATATTGCATGGGACACACTTATATTAAAAAATGATGTGTTGTTTGGAGAGTCTGGGTGGCTCAGTTTGTTAAGTGTCTGACTTTTTTTTTTTTAAGATTTATTTATTTATTTAGGGAGCAGGGGAGGGAGAGAGAGAATCTCAAGCAGACTCCGTGCTGAGCAGAGGCTTGATCTCACAACCCCACAGTCATGACCTGAGCCAAAATCAAGAGTCGGACGCTTTACTGACTGAGCCACTCAGGCGCCCCCACAGATAAATTTAATTGAGCAAAGATTTTCTTGGGCACCCTCCCTGCCATCAGAGACTGCCTCCCAAGAATGAACTGAGCTTACTCCATATCCTGCCCCTTCCTGCCCTCCCCTGAGTTCAGTTCTCCATCCCAGGTCTGCCCTATCCCTGAACAGTTACGTGCTGCAAAATTATTTCTCAGAAATGAAATGAAATTCTTAGTCCTTCCTTCTAACTGATCTCATCAAGGCATGAGAAAGAAAGGATTGAGCACATTGACACCAATGTAAGAGAATTCTTATCAACTTAACTCAGTCTCCAGTTGGGAGAATTTGGGGGCAGCATAAGACAGGAATGAAAAAAGTGCTGGCGATGTGGGGGGAAATATTCTGAGCAATGGAAGCAGGCTAGCATGACCCTGAGATCATAACCTGAGCTGAAATCAAGAGTTGGATGCTCAATCGACTGAGCCACCCAGGAGCTTCAAGTGTCGGACTCTTGATTTCGGCTCAGGGTTATGAGATCGAGCCCCACTTTGCGCTCTGCGCTGAGCGTGGAGCCTGCTTGGGATTTTCTCTCTCCCTGTCCCTCTGTCAACACCCTTCCCCCACCGCCGCCGCTTGTGTGTGCTCTCTCTCTCAAAAAGCAAAAACAAAAACAACGGTGTGTTGTGTACCTGAAACTCAAATTTAGTTAGGCATCATATATATATATATATATTTTTTTTTTTTTTAGGCGTTATATATTTTATCTGGCAACCTTGTCTGGGTCTACGATGTGTTGTGTACCTGAAACTCAAATTTAGTTAGGCATCATATATATATGTGTGTATATATATGTATATATATATATATTTTTTTTTTTTTTTAGGCGTTATATATTTTATCTGGCAACATTGTCTGGGTCTACTGTGGTATACTCCAGGCTTGTTTGGGGCGGTCCTTGGGACATTTGTTTTCTGTGGCTCTGGTCACAGAGGGTGGCCACAGTGGAGACTGCTAACACACTGGCAGAAGCCAAGGGGTGGAGCACCCCGAGTGGAGACACACCTTGGGCTTCAGCTAGACTCTCACCCTGCTTTCCAGTGCCCCCTAGCGGCAGAAAATTCAAGTGCTGGTGGCCGTCTCAGCCCGGTAAGGAAGTTAGCTACCCCGGGTACCGTTGACCATTGCTGGGAGGCTGGAGGATTGGGTGGAGGGTGTGGGTGGCTTCCAGGCAGCACACCACACGTCTCTGCCTTCCTCAATATGTGGGAAGCTCAGAAGGAGGCAGCACTGTCTCCCATTAACCTGGAGCTCAGTGTCTCAGGTCCCTTGGGAGGGACTGTGTGTGAAGGAGGAAGGTGGGCAAGTCTCAGGATCACTGTGGATATGGTAGCAAGAGAAGCAACCGCTGTGATGACTGAGAGGCTGAGCTCTGAGTTGAGATTGTAGATTCTTCTGGAAAGGACTCAGAGAACCCCGCAGTTTTCTGATCGAGGCATGGCTAGTGCTTCCCCGGGAGGAGAGATGACTGTGATGACGACTGCTCCTCCCCACCGACCTGCCATCTCCAAATCCACTGGTCAGCAAACAGCAGAGGGGTGGCGAAGTGCCCACAACTTGTAAGGCAGCCAGTTTCCTTCCGCTGCTGGTCTGGTGTTGGGCCCCTCGCATCGCCAGAGCGTAGCTGGCCCTGCCTTGGGTCCCACCCTGGCTTTTGCTTCTGCCTCTCTGTGGAGCTCTTGCCTCCACATCAAGGTGATGCTAGAACGTGAGGGCTGCTCATACACGTGGACGGTGGTGAAGGAATAGCTCCTTGCTGGGAGTTTGGCTTCTGGGGGATCAACGACAAATGGATCCATTCGCATTAAGTCATAGGGAGATACTGCTCTCTTTTTAATTTGGAAGCAACACTGTGTACCTACCATGTGCCATGCACCATCTAATCTAGACCCTGGAACAATTACTATCATGGAGCTCCCCTTGTTATCCCCATTCTACAGATAAGGAAATGGAGGCTCAGAAGAGATAAATTTGCACCTAGGAGATTCCATATGTTCTTAGGTCACTGTATTTTGCTGAGAGGTGGTTGTCCTGGGCCACCTGCAGGCTGTGCTCTCCCTCACCTGGCCTGAGACCCCTGGCCTATTATCTCTGGGTGATGCATACCTTCTATTTCAACTTCACTTTAGGTTTCTGTTGCCTGCAACCAGCCAGTTGCTCCACTGGGTCCCATTCACTCAGGAGTAGGTGGTCCTTGGAATCGAAGCAAGTGTTGTTAAAAGGACGTGGAGGCTGGCATGAAAATAGGGCTGGGCAGGGGCAGGCCTGGACAAGGGATCCTGGAGGCCTGGGCTGGGGGGTGGACCAGGAGCAGGTGGAGATGGAAGAGGAGAATCTAGGGGAGAGCCCTCACCTGTGCATGAGGGTTAAATGGTCTATAGGTCAACCTGGAAGTCCCAGTTTCTAAGTGATATTCTCAGACTGAGTAGAGTAACCAGGCTACCTCCTCATGTCTCTTCACATCCATGTCACACTCGCCCCACATTCTATTGCTCACTCTGTCCTGCCTCTTAAAAGCTTTCTAATATCTCTGGAAACTGTCCCTCCTGTCCATCCCAGATGCCACTGCTTTAACTCAAGCCCCTGTCACTTCTTTCCTGGGACAATGACACCGACCTCACCGACACCGTGAGAGTGTCCCTTGCCATCCCACCTCCTCCCTTCTGTGAGTGTTCCACCTTACTCCCTTGCATCCTGGCCATATGATGGCTTTTCTCACCTTTATTATAGTCCAAGTTCCTTGGCTTGGTACACAAGATCTCTCACAAGCCAGGCTCAGCCGACATCTACAGATTCATTTCTCAACTGCTCAGAAGCTTTTACCCTGGTGGGTTTCTATCCCTGGCTGCTTCATACTTGTCACCATCCCCTGCCATTCTTCCCCATGCACGCACTCCAGGCAGTCAACACGCTTGTTTTCACTGCACGGCTTTCACGCCTGCCCTCGGGTCTTCCTGGAATGCCATTTCCTTAGATCCTTGAGTGGCTATTAGTCTCCAGCCAGCTCTTGTCTCAATTTCACATCCTCAGATGAACTTCTCTGACCGCCATAGCTGAAGGAAGCTCCTCTCCCCTCTTGTCATGATCTTACTACTGTAGTGTGAATTACTGTCTGAGATTATTTCATGCACATGTGAATTTACATACATCCCACTTTCTGTCTCCTTATGGATGGTAAGCACTACGAGGGCAGGAAATGGGTCTGTTCCTTGTATTTCCAGCACTCGGAAGAGCGGTTGGCACGTAGTGGGTTCTCAGTGAAAGAATGAACCTGTTGAATGCATGACTGGTGCAGTAAAGAATGAATGGTGGGCAGTCAGCTAATGTTTGCAGAATCGGTGAATGAATTAGCCCTGATACCTTCTTTCAACAGAGGAGCAGTTCATGCAATGGGATTAAGTACCAGCTAAGTGTCAGGCCCTAGGCATCCCTCCAGAGGGACCCATTGCCCCTTCTGAGCCCTCTTGGGATGGCTTTCTCCCTCTCAGGGGGACCAACCTGGTTGCTTTTCATCCAAGTCCCACTTGCTTACGTCTTGGCCGTGTCTTGCAGAGGAAGTTCAGCACGATTTGGAAGGAATTGGCACAATGTTTTGTTTCGTTATGTTTCATTTTTTTCCCTCTTATCCTGGCTGCCTGACCTGGGGAAAGTCACTCTGCCTCCCTGAGCCTCAGTGGTCCTCAGGGACAAGGGGAAACTGATAAAGACCACCTCACAATATTGCGTTGATCACATAATACAGAGCACTGAGGCACCAAGTACCGGGCCTGGCCCAGCCTGGGGGCTTAAGAAATGCTGGTTTCCCTGAGCTCGGGGGCCCCCCCTGGGGAGGAATGGTGATCCTGCCTGTCCTGGTGACCGGGGTGTACTTGGGATGCCTGCGCCATGTCCTCAACACAGTTTGCTAAGAAGGAGGAAGAGCAGAGGGGAGACTGTGGGAAGAAGCAGCAGAAGGAGAAGGGGGATGGATTGGACAAAGTGGCAGAGATGTCTACAGAAAGCAGGGAGAATGAAGTGCATTATTGTCCCTCTTTTTGGTCCAAGCCACCTCATTCTTGGCTAGTTTGACTCCAGGAGACTAATGGGAAATGGGCTTGTCTAACTCTTTTGTTGCGGAGTGGGGTGAATGCTCCAGGGGATGATTAGCTACCCAGGTGCTGTCATTTCTCTACCTGGAGGCCCAGGTGAGGCAGGCGGGGACTCCTGGCAGCAGAGGGAGGCTCTGCTGAGCACTCTTCCTGGGCGGGTCCCTGTGCTCTGCCTGTAAGACTCATCCTTTCAGCCGGATATGGCTATTTTTTTTTTTTTTTCCTTTTCTACTCCAGGCACTGGCCTGAAGCTTCTAGAGTAGGAGGCTGGCCTGGTCAGATGGGGTCCAGCATTTAGTGGACACCTTCTTTGGGGTAGCAGATGTGCCCCCACT